CATTTATTTTGATTACTAGTTTTACACTTTTTCAACAACCATTTTCACTTTTTTTTTCATAGGCAAAGCCGACCGATTTGAAAAGGCACAAGCCGCCCCCGTTTGGAGCGATACCTTCAACGCCACAGAAGAGGGTGCCTCCTGCCCCCAGCGTGTCTCGGCAAAGTACGCGCTGCTTCAGGGCAGCAAGATTGACGAGAGCAGCTGTCTGGTGCTGAACGTCTGGCGTCCGGCCAGCTGGAAGACCTTCCGCACGGTCATCTTCTACATTCACCCGGGCGCCTTCACCTCGGGCAGCATCTTTGCGCCGATCAANTGTCGTGGCGCCCAACTACCGCTTAGGACCTTTTGGATTTTCCGCCTTTGACGATAAGGACTCGGTCACTAATCTCGGAATGCACGATTTGCTTCTAGCCCTCCAGTGGTGCAAACAAAACGTGGCCCAGTTTGGCGGTGATCCGAACTTTGTCACCATCATGGGCTCCTCTTCAGGCTCAGCGGCCGCTGGCGCTCTGGTTCTGTCGCCACTTGCTGCAGGGCTTTTCAAGACGGCCATCCTCCTCAGTGGAGCGCCAAACTCCGTCTTTGGCGTCACCTCAAAGGCGGTGGCCCTTCAGCGAACCACTGAACTGGCCACTGATGTTGGCTGCCCCTCTGATCAACCGATCAAAGAATGCCTGAAGAAGAAGACAGCCATTGAGCTTGTAGCAGCGATTGGAGATGATCCAAAGAACTTTAGCCTCTTTACGCCCCTTTACGGTGATGACTTTCTGCCCCTTTCTCCCTTTGAAGCACTCAAATCGGGGAACTTTAATCGCAAAATTGACCTTCTCTTTGGCATGAATGAAGTAGACGGAGGGGAGTTGATTGCCCTGCAGAATCCCGAACTAGCAGATGACAGTGCAAAGCTGACAGTGGAGAGGGCAAAGGAGATACTAAAGGCTACTTTCAAGAAGTTTGGAGGAAAGATCAACGCCGATGAAGTGAGCAAGCAGTACATTGACAGTTTGAGCAGTCCGACCAGTGAGCAGCTAAAGTAAGTGGATGAGTTCTATTTGCTGTTTTAAAATCATCTTTGGTCTCTCCAGAATCGCCATCTCCAGGGCCTTTGGCGATTTCATCATCAGCTGTCCTCTGTCTCTTTTCGGGCAGTCGCTGGCCAGACACGAGCCATCCAGTCACTACTACTGCTACCGCCTGGCACAACGTTCGCTGGTCTCCGACCTGATGCATCTGCCAGGCTGGCTGGGGGCACTGCACGGCGAAGACCTGAACACGCTCTTCAACTACCCGCCGATGCAGAGGGACGTTGATAAGCGCCTGAGAGAGGACTTCACTAGAGCGGTGATTGCCTTCATCAAGACGGGCAACGCTGGCCAGATGGGGCAGGGGGCGAAGTGGGAGGAGGCATTCCAGGGCAAAGGTGACAGTGGCAGCAGCAGCACTCGGTACATGCGGCTCAATGTCACCGACTACAGGATGGCAGAGGAGAAGACGTGCGCCACCTTCTGGAAGGATCGCATTGAACTGTGATTTGAGACTTTGCAAATGCAACCGAAGTTGAAGTGTAACAAACGTGAAGGTCAATCAAAGTGTAATTGAGTGTGTGTTGTGTAATTGTGAGCCTGTGTCGCTATCACCACCGCCTGAGTCAACAAGTGGAGAGTGCAGGCAGAGTGGCTGTACAGTGTTAGACAATCAGCGATCTTTAGTGATAATACTGCTGATGATGATTATGTTGAGGTAAAGTAATGATAAAGTGTTTTAAAGTGCTGTCACCGTTTTTGGCAGCAGTTGGTAGTCGCTTTTCCACCACCACCGTAGCTGGACTATGAAATCACCAACAACTTCTCTGTCGATAGCAAATTGTCTGCTGCTGTTGCTGTTGCTGTCAGCAGTGGTCAGCCTGTTTGCTGCTGCTTCGGAGATTGAGTATGCGCCGGTGGTGCAGCTGCAGGCGGGTAAAGTCCGCGGACGAGTGGTGGAGGCGTTGGACAGCGTGAAGGTGCACTTCTACGAGGGAATACGATTTGGTAGGTGGTGGGGAGAGGGGTTGATATGGTTTGAAACCCCTCAGCTATAATCTATGTTCCTTCTACAGGTCAGGCAAAACGATACGAGAAGCCGACACCAGCTGCTCCCTGGACCGGCGTCTACAATGCCACTGAGAAGCGGGCACAGTGCCCGCAGACGATGCTCAACATCACTATCAACGGTCTGGCCCTGCAGTCGAACAGCATCAGTGAGGACTGTCTCTTTCTGAGTGTGTGGAAGCCAGCAGTAGCAGCAGGAGACAGAAACCACTCACTTCCCGTAATGTTTTTTGTTCACGGCGGAGGGTAAGTGAAAGAGGAATACTCAATGCATCAGTTTTTCTATTCAACTCCCATTTTATCCTCTTAGCTTTGCCATGGGCACCGTCTTCAGTGACATTCAGGATGCCCGTTACCTGGTGGCCGAGGGCAATGTCATCGTTGTCAGTGTCGCCTATCGACTGGCCAACTTTGGCTTTCTCTACGGCGGCGATGTCATCGGCAACCTTGGGCTGCATGACCAGCTTCTCGGACTACATTGGGTGAACCAAAACATTGCCGCTTTTGGCGGTGACCCCAACCTGGTGACCATTTTTGGCGCCTCTGCAGGTTCATTTAGCGTCGGCTCCATTATTCTGTCGCCGCTGAGCAAGGGCCTCTTTCGACGAGCCATTCTGCAGTCTGGAGCACCAAACTCCCGCCTTGGAGCCATTCCAAAGAGCAAATCACTGGAGAAGACGATCGCCTTTGCCACTCGATTGGGCTGTCTAAATAAAACAGCCGAAATTCAATCGACAATCAACTGTCTGAAGGGCAAAAGCGTCGAGCAGCTGTTGCAGGCGGAGCGCTTTGACCTCCTTCGAGACGAACTTTTTACGCCCATTTACGGCGACGAGTTCATGCCCACGGCACCGGTGAAGGTTCTGAACGAGGGCAGCTATGTCAACAAAAACATCGACCTCATGGTGGGCGGCTGTGCCGATGAGGGCTCCGGCTTTGTGCTGGCCATGTTTCCCACGCTGAGGACCGCCAGCACCACGTTGAGGCAAACCCGAGAGCACCTGTTGACCATTGCCGAGCTGTACAACGTCTCACAGCCTCAGGAGGTAGTTGACTACTACCTACAGGGGCTCAGTGACCACTCGACGCAGGACCAGTTCAAGTAGGAGTGAATGAATGCTATTGATTACCAAACGCAACTAAATTACCATTGCCCTAGAATCGCCATCGGTCAACTGCTGGGTGACTACCACCTCGTCTGCCCGACCATTCTCCTGTCAGAGCAGCTGGCCAAGCACTCCTCTACTGATGGTGGCAACACCTTCTTCACTTACCGCCTGGTGCAGCACCTCGAGGTGGCGCACAACCCAATGGAGCACTTCCCCTGGCAGGGGGTGACACACGGCGAGGACTCCATGTACATCTACGCCATTTCACTGCTGCAGAAGGCGGAAGATCGACTGCTCAGCAGGAGCATGATCACCGCGTGGACTAACTTTGCCAAGAGTGGTCACCCGGGGGTGGTGGGCGGGGTCCAGTGGGAAGAGGCTTTCCGGAGCAGAGAGCATCCGGTCACGAGGCACCTGTCACTGCACACAGGCGACTTTAGAATGGTCAGTGGTGCATTTGCAAAGAACTGCGACGCATTGTGGAAGAGCAGAATTACACAGTAGAGTAACAAGTGTCGTAGTGTCGTTTACAGAAGTTGCAAGAAGGCTAAAGTGATAAACACAATTAGACTTGGGTAATCTTGTCCTTCCAAAACTGATCGCAGGCTCGGTGGTACTGTCCGCTGACCATGCCGTACTGCTGTGCTATCTTCAGTGACATGTGTCGGGTCACCTTTTGAGGTGAGGTGGCGTTGAACGCTTGCAGCCACTGCACTTTTTGGCCTCCAATCTTCCCCGGATCACCAGTTGAGATAAAGGAGGCGAAAGCGGAGATGACGTCATTGCTGAGCTGTGCTTCCTCTGCCGTCCTCACAAATGGCACCTTGAAAAAGACCAGCCAATCCTGGCCGTGCATCACACCTGATTTAAAATCGACGGAAATTAGATTGATTTATGGTCAAAAAGGATCACAAAGCATACCCATCCACTTTTGAGCGGGGATTTTGCCATGAAGACCGTTCATCAGACGGTACGAGTAGTACCGGTTGCCTGGTGGACTGTGCTCAGCAAGCTGCTGAGTGAAGAGAATCGTCGGGCACGTCAGAATGTAATCACCCCAGACGTTGCTGTAGATGATTCTAATCGCCGAAACAAATCAGTTAGCTGCAGGTACAAAAAAAGATGACTCAGCAAAACTTACTTCAACTCCTCCTCGGACACTTTGAGGCAATTGACCAGATCGCCCGTATAGAAGTCGACCACCTCTTTAGCGTAGTCCTTCTTCCAAATTTTGGTCACCAAATCGGCGATGTCCGCTCTCGTGGAGGCAACGGTCAGATTGGCGTGTTCGGAGAGAAGCTTCGGAAGTGCCTGTGCCGCAAAGTAGCTGCCCTCTCGGTCTGAGACGCCGTACAGTACGTCGATGTTTCGGTTGAACTTGCCCTCCTTCAGCGCAATGCCCGGCATCGTGGGCAGATTCTCGTCGCCGTACACTGGCCAGAAGAGCACACCATCGAGCATGTGATTCAGGCCGATGCCGTTTGAGATCTCCTCTGCTGATTTGCGTCGAAGACAGGCAATGCTCGAGCTGGACGGTTCCTCTGCAGCCGATGAGCTACAGTTTAGGCGGAACACTAGCTCCTTGGTGGCAGCCAGCGCCGTCTGCGGCGACTTGACCAGGTCAGAGTTGGGTGCTCCAGCCAGGAGAATGGCCCGCTTGAAGAGTCCGGCGGAGAGTGGCGACAGAATGTGAATGCCCACTGAGATGGAGCCGGATGATGAGCCGGCCAGCGTGACCAGAGACGGGTCTCCGCCAAAGTGGGCTACGTTTTGCTTGATCCACTGCAGGCCTAGGCGCTGGTCGTAGAGGGCCAGATTGCTGGGCACCAGACCGGGCGCGTAGAGAAGGCCAAGGGCGCCCAGGCGGTAGGCGAGCGTGACGACGATGACGTTGCCCTGGCTGGCAATGTGCTTCCCGTCAAAGTACTCGGAGAAAATTGAGCCCACGGTGAAGGCACCGCCATGAAGAAAAACTAGAACAGGGAGCTTGGGAGTGGTGGTAGAATTCTGGTGGTGGGCAGGTCTCCAGACGTTCAGGTAGAGACAGTCCTCCGACATGACCTTTGTCTGCACCAGAATGTCACTTTCGTTTTGCGGCATGATGTACTGCGAGCAGCACTCAGGCTTGCGGGTGGCATCGTACACGAATGGACTCCACTTTTCGACCACTGCCTGGGGCTTTTCGAAACGTTTGGCGGTGCCTGAAATCAAATGGAAGGCGGTTTTACATTTTTTGTTTCAATGTAAAGATAAGTACTACTTACCATATCGAATGCCTGGAATGAATCAAGTAACACTCATTATTTTTTTGTTTTGACAGAGATTATCAAGCAAACTTACCTTGGTAAACGTGCACCTGCTTGCCGTTGACATTTTCCACGAGACCTCTGACTCGTCCATTTGCCAACTCTACATCTGGTGCAAAGATTTGGGGGTCAACATTGCAGCTAGCCAACTGAATGGCAACCACGGAGAAAAACACAAACGTTAGTAACTTGGCCATTCTCCAGAAGCTAATCAATGGATGACCATGAGGAAAAAGTAAGTGTCAGTCGACTTATATACATTTCTCATATTCCTTACATTTAGTGGTAGATAGAGATCATCAGCTAACGAGAAGCAGATGCTTTAATAGGTGATATAGTACTGTGAGAAAA